AGGAACATGAGTATAAAGTATAATTTTGATATCTTATGTACAGGTGCACATTCTCTATGTTGAATATGAACAATATACCTGAAAAAATATAGTACAAGAAAATAAAAGAATAAAACAAGTGCAAAAGAAATAGATATAATAAAAACTTCCAGTACATCTCAAATGTGCCATCTGGAAAACAGTGAGTTGGGCCTCAGGGCTCCATCCATTGCATCCCTGAAGACAGGGCTCACTGGAAGACAGTGAGTTTGAACTGGGAACCTCCTCCAAAGGCAAATGCAAGAATGACAAAATGACAAAACTGCACGAGCTTTGCAAATTCAAAATCCAAATTAGGAGGAGAAGGAATCCAGTAGACTGAACCCTATGAACATTCAATTCTGGTGGCCAAAGCTCCTGAACCTGGTCTTTAGTGTCAGAATTTCTATAAATATTCCAGTCTTCTGAGCAGAATCTCATATGCAAGATAGCACAAAGTGATCCAGATTTACTCATTAAGAGGACATCTCCAAACCTTGCCAAAAACTTCCCACAAGTCATTCCCAAAGAATGTTCAACCACAAGTCAGGTTTAGTCACAACAACCACTCTACTCCTCTGGTCTCAAATTCTCTTTTGTTTACATTTCTCTCAATGCCGACACAAATTAACTGACCTTCTAAATTAGGGGTGGAAAGACATTTATATTACTGTCTTTGGAATTTTAAGTCCATAATTAGAAGACTTCAAGTCAGAGTGACACATGGCAGATGGCATCAGATCTCAGCAGCAGAAAGCAGCACAAGCAACAATAGCAAAAGGACAGGATCACAGAGAGATTCTTTCTGTTCCTTATATTTTAAGTAGGCCAAACACACTTGGGTGTAACACTCACACCTAGAATTACAGCACTGGACCATAAGTCATTCACAACTCTAGAAGCAGACTTCCATGATTGCAGGAGCCTGTGTGGGCCTCCAGACTTAAAACGTAATACAGGTTCATCCACAGAGACAAACACTGGTGCATTAATCGCTAATGGTGTTCTCAGCATACTCTGAGAGCTCTGCTGTATTAATGTTGGTATGAAAATTATGAGAGTTTTGTTCCTTAAGGCAGACCCGATATATTTTTGTATATATACCTTGGGTCATACTCACAACCTCACACTTGCCAGGTAAGCATGCACACTACTGAGCTAAATCACCAGTTCTATTTTTTCATCGTTTTAATATGCAAAACTAACACAAAATTTAACTTCCATATCAGTACAATCCCCAGGATACATATTTTCTGCACTCTGTTAGATATGTTTATGTTCTAAATACCTTTGAATTTTGACCAAATAGTTGTAATTCAGTTCTCTAAAGTTTGATATTTCCAATCTCCAAAAATACTTTCTTATGCTAAAGACAATACAAATAATCTGGAATAATGTGAAATAAGTTTCCTCCTGCACAGTTCCTTTTAAGAAATGGGTCACTGCACTCACAGTAAATAATACAAACCTGAGTGTAGATAAGCTAATAAAATTCTAGCACATTGCCTCCAATTTTCAATTAAAAGGTGGAGGAAAATTTACCTTAACCAGAAAATTGAATAAATGACTTCATCTCGCACACTGGGGAGGCTCCTTTTTCCACGGAAGTACATGTCAGTCTTGCACAGAATTTTGAAGAGCTTTCCATGTGATACATGTCTGCAGAAATCCTTGGTAAGCCAGGATTCTGGCATGACAAATGAACGCTGGGAAACTGCTGTTTTTGTCTTTACCCCATCACCAGGGCTGATGTTACAGTTTATTCAGCCAAAAATAGTCCAGTTTTCTGGACTTTAGTATCTGGGGCAAAACAAAATAAATATAAAACACAAATATGTAGCATACACCTCATAAAAAGTAATGTTACAATGTCAATTGTGGCCATAGGATAATTGCAGCAGAAATTGGCAGAATGTAAACAGGAAAAAGGAGGAAAGAGAAGCAGGAACCTTCAATATTTCAGGCTTCATGTACATAATGGATCAGACCCAGGTGGCTCCTATAGTGGTCAGCCAGCTCTAATTCAGCTTCTTGCTCTGCTGGTCAGATGCCTCTGGTTCCAGGTGGCTCCAATTATCATCAGAGATCTCTAAGTTCTCTGGTGTTCCACACTGTCTCTCCCTGGTGTCAGTGATTCAATGTCTCAGTTAACTTACACAGAGAATACCAAGATAATGTGTTTATAATTGAATGAAGGAAAGGGAATTTGTCCTTCAGCTTCAATGTTTCTTAATGTACTGCTACCACTAACAACTCCAGGGCATCCTGGGAAACTAATTTATTTATTTATTTGTTTTAGTCATTTAAATGTTGAAAAATGTAACAGGATATGTTCACTTGTAGTTCAAGGACAATAGACAGACATTTGGATGACGCAGATATGTTGACGAGGAGGCTGCAGACTTAACAATTACGCTTAGTGGCTTCTTTCCTTAAAAGGATTGACCATAAATTGGTGAGAAATGCTTGTTTGTCTTCACCAAAAATTTTTTTATGCATAAGCAATCAAGGTGATATCTTCAGTATTACCTTTTGCTTTTAATGTTTAAAATATAGAATTCTATGTGACAGGGCTCACTACACAGAGACAATTCTTTCCCAGTGATTAAAACACTCTTCACTCATAAATATTCTAGAACTATGATAATAGCCCAAGGAATTGATCAGTCCTACCCAGGATCCCTGCAAAACCTTAACAGCAGATCTCCATCTCTTGCAAGAGAGCACACAAATCATAATGACCACCCTCCAGCCACCTAAACTGCAGTCATTGCCTGGCTTCCCTTTGCCTTTGCAATTAAAACAATTTCTGTGAATTTGTCCTTTCAGTTTACTTTCCATCTCTATAAAAACATTTGAAGCTAAGTCACTGTGAAAATTATTTGTGTGCTAAAAACCTGGGAAGTCCTGCACTGGTCCTGGATAATCTTACCTGCAGCCTGTATTTCAGCAGCAGGAATTTTCAATTTGTCCATTATTTTCTTTGTTAGTTAGTTTGAATTATGGTGGTAAACCTGTAATTTATAGTATGCAGATTTTTTTTACAAAATGTCATTTATATTTCCAAAAGAACACAATTAACATTTCAGTGTTCTGCCTTGTAGGAAGAGCAACTGAAGAGAGGAAAATAGGCTGGCTTCTACACCATCAGCTAGTTAGACACGGACAGCTGAAGAATGATTTTTTCTCAAAGCATTCAAAGATAAAATTCCTGTTTTTCTTTTTTATGGATTTCTTTTTTGTTTTCTTGTTTTAAAGGAAATAGAAAAAGAGAATGGAAAAGAAACTTTTGGGGGGGTGCCAAAAACTTTTCCAACTATATTTAAGAACCATAGTTCGTGTAATGAAAAACAAAACACAGAGTGAAATATGTTTTTCAGTATTATTCACTGTTTCCTGCTTGTGGAGGCTGAGAAAAATTGTGAGTGAGGTTGCAAGGTTTAAGAACACACATATGGTGGCTGGGGATTTAGCTCAGCGGCATAAGCACCTACCTTGCAAGCAGGCAGTCGTGAGTTCGATCGCTGGTACCGATAAAAACGAAAAAGACAAAAAAAAAAAAAAAAAAAAAAAAAGAACAGACATATGCATGTAACAAGCAACAGCAGGAAGCACGGAGAAGTGTAGAGCAGAAGAGCCAGAGGGAGAGCCTCCTGCCTCTTTAGTATTTATACAGGTTTTTACCTCACATTTACATTCTCAAACAGTGCCATTGAAGTACATGTGATGCCTCATGGCTACATACCTTTATCTAACTCTGCACCTGAGTAAAACAAGTGGGGTCCCACTCTCCCCTGTCCTTTCATGCCCACGAGCTTTGATATATTGAAAGTGGCTCCAAAACAACAATACTGATCTTTGATCAATGTAACTTTGTCAGAACACTCACCTACTGGATTAAATCTAATAATTCCTCATTTTTTCCATCATGCCTTACTTCAAAGACAAGAAAAGTGTATATTCTATTCTTATAAGTAGCAATTGCTAACAGTGTGGGGACTCTTTTGTATTTTGTACAATGAGGAGGCATTATTACTCACACCCTTGTACTGGAACAGTTGGAAAAACTAAAGTTTTCTTCCCTGAACATTAATTCTTGTGGAATACACAAATTAACTCTGTTTTTTTTTCTTTTCCATTGTCTTAAAGCTGAACACTTTTCATTTAATCCAAGAGTCTGAAGATTGGTCTGCTCTTTCATAGGCAGGCAATTTCTTGCACTATCAATGCTGGGATGTACAGACTATTGGTTAGAAGGCATTCAAGTGTTGCTCAGGCATGTCAAAGGGAGCAAAGGGAAGCAGCACAGGGAATTCCTTTGCTCCAAATACCTAAGTTCTGGGTATTGTTCTTCTCCCACACCCTAAAAGATTTGGTTCCAATATAAATCTGGGTTATCCAGTGCATGAGTGGGCCTGCAGTCACAGGCCACCTTCAGATTTTCCCAAACATTTGACTGTCAGATGTAGAAAAAGGAATAGGAATCAAAAACTGTGCAAAGAAAGATTAAACTTTATTTACAGAATACAGGGAGGGGGAAATATAAAGCCACTGTGTAGAGTGAGGGACCCAGAGCAGGGTGACAGGGAAGAAGGCCTGACAACCTACATTCATGAAGTGAGCTCCTGATCTCTCATTCTAAGGCAGCTCCAACACAAGGGTTTATCTGTCTCCATGCTGAAGAATTTGATTTTATTTTGGGATCAACATTGCAATAATCAGGATGCACAACATTACACAAGCCAGGTTTCTTATTGTCTCTAAGTTACATACTTAAACCTTTGAAAAAGTTACTCTTATCCCAAATTCCAAAGGATCTATCTATTGTTCTTTAAAATTAAAAAGGTGCTCCATCTAACCCTAGAGAGGGACAATTCAGTATTTCCTCATAGTAGAGTGAAAGCTCCACAGATTGCCCTATCTAAAAAAGGTTCAGTGGAAACAACTGTGACCACTGTTTTGGAAAGATGAGAGGTGGTATCTTAGGCCAGCCTTGGTTGTTTGCACAGGGGACCCAGGAAAGCACCCTGCATGGAAGCCAGAGACTGGTAAGCTTCAGCCAACAAGTGAGGGTGAGACACCATCAGGCACTTCCACGTGGATGTCTGCAGGATGTAAGAAACATGATAGTTGATGAATTCCAGAGTCCAAGTTTTCAATTGGTGTGCACCGTGGAGGTCAGCCAAGATGAGCATTTCCAGGGCATTCTCCACAGAGAGGTTGCTGCCAAGGTGGATTTCACACATGAGCTTCAGGTGCTCCAGACCAAACCTATCTGCAGCTGCCAGCAGATCAGATGCCATTCTGCAGAGATTTGGTGTCTTTCCAGTGTAGATGAAGGAAATTATTTCATTGAAAACTGCAGGATCCATATCACTGATTTCAACTGGACTGTTTTTACTCTTCTGCAATTCATACTGAAACAGGGCCCTAAAAACTGGAGAGCGAGCTGCTAAGATGGCTTTGTGAGCCTGGAATTCTTGGCCAGCCACACACAAGCAACAGTCTGCCAGCAGGGAATTCTTCCACAGCCCTGCTAGATCATCAGGCAAGGAGCACTCAGGAACATCCATATTCATGTTATTCTGGCTAGAGATGTTGGTGGAGTCTTGTGCCACTTTCACCTCACACCAGAGAGTCAGCTTGTCATCTGGGAGAAGTCCATTGCTTTCTTCTAAAACCAATTCTCTCAAGATGAATTTTCTGAATCCCCAGTCTGAGCCTGGCTCAAAACTACGAATTTCTTGACTTGATAGACCATTGGTTTTCTGTCCTTTATCATTCACAATGTAAAATGTAAATTTTGCCCAAGCTTCTCTCATTGGACAGCTGATTAGTGCCAGGCTCAGCGACAGGTAATCTTTGCTTTCTTCATCAACGCCTCTTGGATATACTCGTAAGCACCATTTCAGTTTATCATTTGATTCAGATGAAAAGGTTGAACTTTCAATGCTATGACCTATTTCCCTTAGGCAAAAGCTAAAGTTACTGATGGTCCACAGGTAGGAGAGTTTTACCACTTTGATTTCTGTGGTGTATTGCTTCTCAGCTATTGGCCCACTTGACATTTCTTGAACCCCTGCCATCACCAGTGTGAAAGAGAAAGAAGTTTTTGCAAGTCAGAGAAATGGTTTCTTTCTTCACTATATTAAAAATGTCACTCCAGTCAGCAGATCCTAGACAAGTAGAGAGATATGCAGTCATGAAATGCAGAGCCTAGTTATACATAAAAATATTCAATTAGAATCAGATTTTCTAAGATTTGCTAGTGTATCAGTCACTAGTCAGTTGTTTATTTATTCCTGGAAGAAAAAGCTCACCTAAGAAGTCTCCTTTTTTGCTCATTTTCATGATATTTCTCTGTAATTGAACCGCTTTGGAGATGAAGGAAGGATAATTGCTAAACATTTGAGGAAAGCTGGAACTACATAGCAAAATTCAGTTCCATAAGCAGCAAAATACTGTACTCGAAAAAAAATCTATATTAATAATATTTTATAACACTATCGATTTTGTTTGGTTTGTTGCTATTGGAGATTGAACCTACAGGTTTGACACTGATTTATGTCTCTCATCCATTTATTTATTTGAGGAATATTTGGCCCAATTTATTTACTAGACTTCCAAAGTTGGGATTCATCTTTCTGAGGCTTCATATTTAATTCTGCAAGAATACTGGTATTGGAAGAGTGCACCAGCATGCTTGTTTGGTCACCTGTTTCTCTAATACACCTCCTCAATGCTGTTAACCTTCCAAAGCAGTCCAGTGCTGTGACACAGATAACTGGAGTGTGCTTCAAACAAATGGTGCCTTCAGAAAATTTATGGACATTGTTGTGATAACACCTAATTTAACACCTTTTTTGATCTCCATTTTCTGCCTATGGCACAATATTCTTCACACTGAGTTTGGTGTGTGACGAGGTAAAAACCTTGCTGAGGATGAGCTAGAAAATGTGACTACCTCTCTTTTCCTTCTCTGGCCATAGGTTTTTAGTTGGCAACAAGATGGCTCTCCTTCCCCTTTGCTCTCTTTGCTCCCTGTTGCAAGACAATTGACTCACACAGTTCTTGTCAGAATTCTGGGTTATCAAAACACCATCCTCATCTCCTACATGAGTACAACCTGGCCAAGATAGGTAACTTTCCCACTCCAGCCCCTTCACTTGACACTGTTGCATTTGATAATAGATAGGGCACCAGGAAGAACAGATAAAGGCACTGAGAGAGGCAAATGTGTTTTTTATTTTCCTCAGCCCAATGCACATCAAGCCTTCTAGGAATCCCTCGTTTCAGCCCTCTGCCTGGCTGACACAGGACTGTCATCACAAGGAAAGGAGCAGCTAAATAAAACTGGTGCCTAAGGGAAGACAAGCTTGCCCATGCTAAGGGAGAAATTTTCAGGACAACTAAGTGACAGAGAACTTTTCTTAATGACATTATGCCAATCTTGGTGCTCACATGCAATTTTAATGCCCATGGGGATATCTAATAGGTATCCTTGTTGTTTTCAAATAGAAATGTCATAAAATGAAATAAATTAAAATAGTGCTGTTTCTTCAAGAGCTCATGCGTGTTATTTTTCCTAAGACAATTTAAATCTGGGATTCTATTTCTTAGAGCCCCAAGTACATTACCTGAAATATCCCTATCTATGTTAGGCAGTGCTCACTAGGTAAACAGATTTAGTGCTAGGAATCTAGTAAAGTTACAAGATTTAAATGATTGACTTACAGTTGGTGCACACAGAGTCACATACAGGAGAGTCAGAAAGGCTATTGGCACGCTGGAGACACAAAGAACCCAGTTCAAATCTTGAAGCTGTGTTGAAAACACGCTGAGTTCTTCTCAAACAGATGTGACCCAGCCTTCTTTGATCCCCTTTTATACCACTTAGATAAGCATCCACCTTAGGGTGGATCTTTGCAAAGTATTCTAATCCACTTGAGCTCAGCATTTTTTATTCAAATTAACAGATTCAGTTAATGCTTACACCACCTGTCTTCTGTCTTCTTGAAGAAAAGAAATTATTTTTGCTGCCTCTGAATTTCTTTTTTGCTTTCATTTATTATTTCATTAAATTTTTTAAAAGTTTCTTGCTATGTAGTTAAGCTAGCCGTACACCTTCAATGACCCTGAGACTGTTGTATTCTGTGATTTCAGACAAGTCCACTATGCCTAATTCTTCTGTTTTCTAACTGCTAAAGAGGTAGGGCAGGTTTCTGAAATTTGAGTATTCAGGAATCAACAGCAGCCAGGCATAGTAGTACACGCCTTTAATCCCAGAAATCCAGAGCTGGAGTTAGGAGGATCCTTACAAATGTATGACTAACGTGAACCACATAGCTAGAGCTTGTTTCAAAAAGACAAAAAAAAAAGAATCAAAAGTAATCAAACTATGCATGTTGAAGTGAAGGAAACACAGACAGACTTCTGATAGGCTTGAGGGGAAAAAATCTCTCATATCATCACAAAAACTCAGAAATCCTCCCAAGGAAAATGTGAGAATAACAGGCAACTCTGCAGAAAGCTTTCTGGATTTGAAGTCCCAAGTAAGAGCACAAGGAATTGAGTACTCTGAACCCTATGAACACTCAATTCTGGTGGCCAAAACATGCTTGTAGGGAAAAGTCCCCATTTGGAAGAAACTTCTAGGGAACTACAATCCTACCTGAGCTGGTCAAGAACAGAAAGGTCCGAGGAACCAGAAGTTACAGTCCTAAATAAAGAAGAAATGCTATGAAATCAACAAAAGTGTTTACTGTAGGGTGAATTCAGCTTCTCTTGTGCTACTTTGCTTCTAGTAGAGAAATAATTATCTCAGGGACTGGGTATACGAGGATATCAGTGACAGCTTACAGTTTTGCACATGCATGAACACTTGGGAGCCATTTACACGCACACACACACACACACACACAGATATCCAAACACACACTGCATGTCGACTGAACAAGACACAGGAAGTAGATCAAACACTTCAATGTAATGCAGTGTTAGCATGATTATAAGCAAGATTGTGAAATAGAATTAAGTCAGTGCATTTTGGAGGTACACAAAGTAACACCTATGGTGATAAAAAAGAATATTTTTCATAAAAATACAGCCTAACTATGAAGTAGTATATTAGCTAGGAAAGCTCTGAGCATAAGTTTGAAAACAGCACAATAACAACTTAAAGGTGTAGAAAACTTAAAAATTCCTAAGGACGTTAAGAATACCTTCCTTGTGGGCTTTTTTTTTTTTTTTTTTTGAGTGGGATGGTTTTGGGGATTAAATCTTGGGCTTTCATACCAATTTACATTGTTTAGGAATAAGATATCACTAAGTTGCTGAATTGCCTGAGCTTAATCCAATTTTTGGCAAACTATTTCAGTCTACCAGCATGCTGAGATTACTTAGAGACACCTGAACTGAAGTTCTGAAACGAAAAATCTCCACAGAGCATTTTTATGTGCCACTACCAGTTCAAGTACCTTAGGAATTGCTGGTCACATGACTCCTGGGCCAGTTCATCCAAAACACCAACTTGATGAGATTAAGAGTCTCCTGATATGGGAACTGCAACCCTTGGTGTAATCATCCATGGATGTTCACAGTTGAGTGTAATATTAAGAGTTGAGTCCCCATGGTGCTCGTATGCTGTGGGTGAGCTTGGGGTGGGGTGGTATCTCTTGCTGCTGTTCATTTTGATCCTTTTGTTGTTGCTATGAAAATAACAAATTTGCACTACTAGGAAGTTCTTCCATGATGGTTGTGCCTTGGAGCATCCCAAACACTGAGGATACAAACCACATTCCACCTCTCCTGCTTTAGGTTATGTGTGTCAGGTATGTTTGTCTCACCAAAGAAATGATGGCATGTGGCTCAACATTTTGAAAGCTGCCTGAACTTATTGCACATTGACATCATTTGGATATGGTTTGAACTCTTTTTTTTCATACAAGAGATGAAATTCAAAACTACTTGCTTGTAAAGCAGGAGCTTATGCTGCTGAGCTAAATCTCCTACATATCTGAACGCTTATCATGGGACGGTACTCTTATTGTGGGAACTGGGTCCATAGTGTAGCAGTGGTAAAGTAATAAAACCTTAAGAGTTAGAACCAGTTCGAAGTAAATTAGGATATTAGAGCACTACACTCAGGGAAATAGAAAGTCTGTCTAGCTCAGCAGATCAGCTAAAGCTGAACATGGATCACATGTGGGGCCAAACCAAAGCTAGTCTGAAGAACAGGGTCTTCGTGGGTCAAGTCACAGGGATAGCTGCTCTTATCTCAGAATCACTGGGTGCCTGAGACAAGTTATGTGGATAACCTCTTTGGTGGAGAGGTTTCATATGATACTGAATCTACCAACTGTATAAATAAATGTGCTTCATCCCATGGAACTCTCATGTGGTTTCCTCCAGCTCCTTCTTTCTCTTCTCCTGCTCCATTGTACTTTCCATCAGGAAAGAGTGCTACAAATGATCTCAGGTTTTGGTACTCTGACTCTTGTCATTTTTCCCCATGATCACACCATTCGCATCGTATGAAAATTGAAAGTTGCAACTCACAGGAGTGTGTCACTTTTCATTAAAATGGATTGGTCTCTACAAGAATGAGTCATCACACTTGAGGCTAACCCAGGCCAGTAATAATTCACTAGCAATAACTATTGTTATACCACCCACCACTAGAGCCTCATCTGAGACAAATAGATGCCTATACCATTCTCTCAAATCTCAGAAGCAATGAGCTGAGAAAATCACTTCATAAACTACACTGCTTCACAAAGCTTTTTAATTAGCACAATACATGATAAAATACCAGGACTCTTTTAGGAAATCACTGATTCCAGATATAGGGTAGGCAAAAGATAAATGTCCCTAAGATGTCTTCTTGTGTTTGAAAACCACAGTAAATATGAATAGTGAGGAAACACTCTTCTCTAAGAAAGGCCACAGAAATTGTGTGGATCTCTTTCTTCTGCATGCTTCCAAGTAGCACTTAACTCCACGATAAAACTCTCTGGCTGAAAAGGTAGGTAATGTGAATTGTCTGGTAAGCATGTGCTCACTTAAAACTAGGAAACCAAAAGCAGAA